TCAAGAAGTGATGAAAAACTTGGTGACATCCCATCGGTCAGTGATGCAGAAACAGCACATCAACAACCTGAGAAAACATCCAAAGAAGATGAGCTGCAACGTTTGGAAGAACGATTAAAACTAGCAGGAGATGTTGGTATAACGGACCATGAGGTCACTTTCTATGACCTTGCAGGTCAACGTGTATATAACATGACTCACCAGGTTTGTTTACTTTCTTTACACATAAATAATGAATAACACAGACATGTTTAGGCTTTTTAGTTCTATTTGAACAGTTCTGTGTTTACATCACACCGGCTGCCTGCCCATCTAGTTGAATCTAACAACGGGTTGGCTTGTTCTACTTGCTTGAAGTTCACTACAATATCTTCCCTTAAAAAGGGGCTAATAATAATATCGTTTTTGCTGGTACCATTTGGAAATTTTTATTGATTGTAAATGAATAATTTGGCAGCCATCTTGGATTTAAGTTGAACTGGAAGTGACCGTTTTGAACCCATTTGTTAGGATATTCTGATTTTTTTGTAGTAACAATATTGATAATGTGGGATGCATAGTTCATGATTAAAAAGCATTATTGATCACATGACTTTTTCTGTCATGTTTTTTTCCTGGGCTGATTTCAATCAAAATGTGCACGCACACACACACACATCATAACATACTTATGCACATGTTTCATAATCCAATTCAGGGTGGACAAACGACGACCATTTTAGAGATAAAAAATCATCAAAATCGTGCATTTTTGCAATTCTACATCTGGATGTCAGTTAGTTATGGATTGACATATTTCATTCAAACTTTGTATGACTTTGATTTGAATTATGTTTTCAGATTGGATTGAAAATGGTTGACTGGCAGTCATTTTGGTTTAACAGTTAATCTTAATAACTTGAGTGCTTTCTAAACCATTTTGATTCTAAACAACTGAAAAAAATAACCAACACAACTGTGCATTAAACTTCCATTACTATGTTTAAAGTTACAAAATATTACATGTATACGATGTCAAAGATTCCAGCATACTGACTGTGTAGAGGTTAAAAATTATGCCTTATAATGGATCACAACTAATCCTTTACATAATTGCAAGTATATTTTCTGTTGATTGTATTTTCTAGATATTTATGCCAAGTAATGGGGTCTACATTTATGTGACTGATTTATCAAAAGATCTTGATGCTGTATGTGTTGATGAAGATGGAAAACTGACAATGGAGGGCAAGACATCAAAAGGTATTGTTTGTCAGGTTTTCAACAATATTGTATACAAGTTCAGACAATGTTGACTCTTACTAATTCTTA